GTAGAAATGGGGGTCCCAGGAGTGTTGAGGGGTGGGGGGCTGCCTGCCCGGCTCCCGGAGGCATACCCTTCCTGTGGAGAAGGGCTGGTGGTCGATTTCCTCCATGATGTTACAGTGTAAGTACGTAGTCTTTTCCCCCAGAGTGGAGACTCCAGCAAGGCTAGCCTTGACTGTTCTCAAGGCACGTTTAGTTTTCTGTTGTACTAAGGCACATGTTGGCGTTTCTTTAACAGGCAGTTGAAATCTTTGGGCAGATTATGGTGAGTTCGGGGTTATATTTTCCCTCCTCTGTCTAAGACGGCATCATGCAGGCTTCCTCAAAGATCAATGGCAGGAGAAAAAGGAAACAAATTTGTGAATCTTCACTTTTCAGCAGATTGACTGAAGTCAGTGGTACACTTAGAAAGGTCCCAAGTGATGGTCTTTTTGCACCAGGCATTTGCATGCTGGGCTCTGCCTTTCCCAACTGTTTAGATGTGATCTCCTAAGGCATTGATTCAGCCTACTTGATTCTACGCATATGATTTAAAAGAAGAGGCATTTTGGTGAAGATTTGGCTACGTGTTCTGGCTCCTCATCCACCAACTAGTCTGTGCCAGAGTTGTTCTTCCATTGAGCTGTTCTCTTGCAGATCAGTTTTAGTTAGTCCATCCATACAAGATCTTCCAGGACTTACAACCCCCGTGTTTGTGTTCATGGACCTGCTTATCTAATAGACCAAGGATGCTGAGGTCAGTTAGTGTCCATTGCTCCATCGGGGTACCCAGGAAACAGGCAGGACTTGCTGTAGCAGGTAGAGGTGGTGCGTTGCCCTTCTCTGAAAACAAACAAGGCTGAACTGAGGATGGTTACCGATCCTGACTCTCTGGACAAAACTCTCCTTGAGTTCAGCAGAGATAAGCCCATGAGCACAACGGGTTGGTTCAATGTGTCATGGGATGTACTGGAATATACTGCAGTGGGTGGAGGGAAATACAATTTGATAGTGAAATCATTCAGCCTAAGCAACATGGGAAAATTATTCTTACAAGGGTAACAAAAAAAAAAAAAAAAAGAACTAAGAGAAAGCACATGGGACTTAGGAATATGCATCTCTGTATATGTTATTAGGGTATGTCAGACCTCTTCTTGAAAGTGTTCACTGAAAGTAAGCAGAAGCAACAGCCTCTATTTTGACTGTAAACACTTTACAGCAGGTAATTTTCAAAGGGTTTCACCAGCATGTAGAACAGTGCAGTCCTAATCCATTTAACTTTGGCCATTAAGTAACAGCAATTACAATTCCCCTCTGTACTTCCCTCTGGGCACATTCAAAACTGACTGGAGATAAAAATATCTTTGTGGAGCTCTTGCTTTTCTGACATCCTTACCATTCCTCTTGGCATGTTTCAGCTCCTCACCAAAGACGTGAAGCAGCGGCTAGGATGTCAAGGGGAAGGTGCAACAGAAGTGAAGAGGCATCCCTTTTTCAAGAGCATGAATTTCAAGCGGTTAGAAGCCGGAATGCTGGATCCTCCCTTTGTCCCTGATGTAAGTATGATTGGAAGAACCTCTAGTGGCCTCCTTCAAGAGATTTGTTTCTAAAATAACTTCTGTCTCTCAGAGCTGTCATCACTCTTTGTGCGGGTAGCTGCCTTAGGAAGATGTGATAAGCGGTAGGGCTGGAGCGGGGAGGCTGGGAGGAAGAGGAGAGTTGCCCTGTAGACATGTGCATGCAGGGTGGGTGGACCTCCACGTAGGGTGGTAACCTGGGCCTTGATTCATTCCCACTCACTGTCTTCCTGTGTGACACTGGAGGCACCACTTGATCTGTTCATGCCTCAGTTCCCAAACTTTAAACTGGGAACCTTTGTATTCCCTTATCCATGGTAGTAGTGTGAGAATAAGTACGCCTGGGACCAGGTGGTGCTCGGAACAATCAGCAATGAAAGCCACATGTATGCATACAGATATATCGATAGATATATATATATGCTGAGGTGAAACCAGAATTACAAAGTCCAAAGCTCCATGGAACTGCGGAATGGACTGGGTCATCATGATAACAGGCATTCATTCCAGAGAGTCTGAACCATGTTCAGATATGAAGTGTCACCTCAAGCAGAGGAGGTGACTCGGACCTGAGGGAGCATTTGGAACTTGTTAGTGTTCATGGCGCATGGAACCCAACATTGAGTCATTACTCAGGTTTACACACCACTCTTGCACATACTGAAAGTCTTTGTTGCATTGGCAATAACAAAACTTTTTCCACCCTTTTGTGGTATCGGTCTCTACCCCAGTGCATAGAGTTATCTGGTTATTTTCCTCCTGCAGGGCTCTCTTTCTGGCTAGGTCTTCCATCCTTAAAGTTCCCATATGGTTCTAAGTAAACACTGCCATTTTAACATATTAAGGAAAGTAACATCTTGGCAGCTCTCATTCACATTGCTGCAAACTCAACCAAACCAAAGTGGTTTGAACGCTACAAAAGTTTACTTTAGCTGCTCTGGTTTTGCTTTACGTTTTACTATGTGGCCTAGTTATTCCTGCCAATTAGCCCGTGGTGTTACGACCTGCTTTAGTGGGAAGAAGTAGGAGACAAGCTACTATTCCTTTCTGATGTAGAAAATTAGAAAATTCTGAGCTCAAATTTGGGATCCGCCAGAGTGTATTAAAAGCTTAACTGTGGCATGTAAGGCCTAGAAGGCACCTCTTATAGACATATTTGCTAAAGCAGAGGCACATAAATTTTTATGGCTATTTATTGGGAACTCAAGAGCTGCCTCTAATTTAATTTATTTGGCACTTCATGCATAGATTTCCAAGTCTTTACTGAAGTCAGCTGAATCACCCGAAGCTATATAGCCAATGGCAGAGGTTGTAATCCAACCCATGTCTCTCCATCCTCTTCTAGACTACTCTGTCTCCACAAAAATGTTGTGGGTTGCAGCCATCAGGAATGCAGAGGGATGGAGCCTCCAGCAAATAGGACTTCCATCAGGAATCAGCTTGATTTGTTTGGTCACACTGCCCAGATCTAGATAAAATACCGCACGGTTGGACCTCTGGGCTGTACAGTCATGGTACCATGTGTGGACGGTAGGATTCAACACGTGCTTG